GATGCAGGTTTCCTTTATCTTCACCCACACTAACATTGGTTTTTGGGGGTGCACCAAATTTTGTGTCACCCATGTTCCCATAAGTATCTCTTCATACATTGGGGTGGGTAATGTCACATTGACGGCTAACTATGTGTTTAAAAGTTTAAAATTTCTGTGATTAAGATAACTAGATATTGGGGTTGGGGATTTAGCTCAGTGGTAGAGCACTTGCCTAGCAAGCTCAATCCCTGTGTTCAATCCTCAGCTCTGGAAAAAAAAGGTAACTAGATATCAAAATTGAATTTGCAAATGTTAAAGTCTACTTAGTGATTATTTTTGTCATTACCTGGTATTATATAAATTTAATAATTCTTTTTCTGTTTCTGCAAATAAAAGCTTGTTTTGTACCAGATGACATTCTGTTTGCACATAGACAGAATGTTTACTTTAGGTACTTGGCATTTAAAAATTACCTGACTGAGGTGCTTGGGAACTGCTTGGTCTCTGGGATTCCTAGCACAGTGTGGTCTCTAGTATAGTAAAACTTATCTGAGAAAGTTGTGGTCTGGAATTTGGAGCTCAGGGGAGAGAGGGCAGTGGGGAGCTGTTGGTTCAGCTTTAGGAAATCTTAGCTGGCAATGAGTAGTGTCTTACCCTGGGTCCTTAGATCCAACCTTGCCTTGTGTAAGAAGAAGACTTCTTCTGAAGTCGTGGGCTAAAATAAAACATAAGAAGAAATAAATAAATCTCATAAATAATGCCAAAAAACTAATAGAAAAATGGCAGGTGAAAGAAACTCTTCAAGACATGAAAATGGAAATAGAAGCAGCAAAGAAAACATAAAAGGAAGGACTTTGGAAATAGAAAATATGAGTAAGTGAACAGGAACTACAGATACAAGAATAACCAACAGAATATATGAGATAGTAGAGAAAATCACAAGCATAGAAGATATATTGGAGGGAACAGATGAATCCACCAAACAAAATGTTAATTCTAAAACATTCTGAACAGAAAACATCCAGGAAATCTGGGACATTAGGAAAAAGCCAAATCTATGAATAAGAAGAATATAAGAAAAAGAAGAACCCCACCTCAAATGGGTAGAAAATATATTCAACAAAATCATAAAGAAAATTTTCCCAACTTAAAGAAAATTGCCTATGAGGAACAAGAAG